TTGGATCCAGATTACCGACCAACATTGGTCGGTAATCCAAAATTTTCTTGTCTGACCAGCTGGATCAATTCGTTGATCATTTTACCGACCAACGTTGGTCGGTATTTAGTTTTAAAAAAATATAAATTTTTTTTTCCCAGTTTCCGACCATCTCGGACGGTTTTTGGTCGCTTTTTTTGACCGACCAACGTTGGTCGGAAATAGTTGGTCGGTTTTTAGCAGATTTTTAGTAGTGTATTTCGTTATTTTTTGGATCAAATTAATTCATTTGTCTAGAAATTACGAACAAATTCAATTGTACTGTTTTACGGGTAAACAAAAAGATTATAACTTATCGTAGGAAAGTCCAAATGACGAACGATATAAAGTGTCAGAAATTAGACTCGAAGAGCTTTGATTTGAACCTTATCCAAAATGTAACTCATTATATATTACGAGTTATGCTCGTTTGAAGTTATGCCTTGTGTTGTGTTAGTCCGTTTACATCTTTAGGCCATTGCATAGTTTCTAAATTACCTAGCCCTAACACTCTCATTAAACTCTAAATTACTTTCAATGCACCTTATATACCTATTATCACATCCAAGTAATATTGTTCATATAATTAACCTGGTCCTTCACACATAAATTAATATAGTTAGCATGCGTCAAACTTCTTAATGGCCTTTAAACATTTAAAAGGTGTTAGTCAACAATGACAAACTTGAACTTAATACAAAATTTTGATATTTATTACTTGGCTTCATGGGCACGGACATTTAAAAGTTGCAAGCGTTGAAAACACAAAAACGAATTAAGAAACTAACTTTTTCTTACAAAATAAATCAAGCTGAAGAAGAAGACCCATTAGTGGAAATATGAAGGAAACTAATCTTCTCATTGAAATGACGACTGCCATTCTTATTGCCTTCATGATTGCTGCTGGCGCCATTACTTGATGTTGAAGCCATTATTTTCAATGCTATCTGGTCCAGTACTATCGTCAAGGTTTACTGTTTGTTGTTGTAGGGTACGGTCTGGTACTGTTGTTGGCATTTTGGAAATCCTTTTTTTCCCAAAGTGCTCTTGTTATTGTGCATCCAAACTCTGAAAACTCCTTTACCAACCCCTATTTCATTGCAAAACTCCTCGACCATAGCTTCATCACACTTCTGCAATTTCCAACCCAACTTTTCAGAGAAAGAATACATCCTATTTTTCTGTTCCTGGCTGAATTTTGTCCTAAACCGTCTTCTTCTTCTTGGCTTCTCTGGCTTTAGTGCTGTGGGCGTGGCAGGCGTCGCCACTTGCGCATGATGGTGACGGAAGTCCATAAAATCATCATCACGTTCTCGGCGGTGGAAGTTGCGGTGGCAGCCACAGACATCGCATTTTAGCGAAGTGGGATCAGCGGCAATGGCATCTGGCGTTGGGATGAATTCACCACAACCGTCCACGGTGTATCCACCTATGCTGGCTGCGTGGTTCTTCAAGCATTCCTTGTAAGTCACCGCCGCAGACGGTGGTTGGTGATTGTGCACTTGGTGGTGCTTCTTGGATGTCACGTTGGTGAAGGACAAAGGCTTAAGGGGTACTTGAGGATAGGGTGGGAAATCCTTTTCAGAATCAGGAGTTTTTGTGGGGATATGGTTACGGGTAGGGATGCTGTAGGTTGAGTCCATATTGATGCCTTATGGTTGAAAATAAAGATATCTAGGGGCAGAACTAAGTTTAAGTTGAGATAATTTCTTGATTTCTTGAAGCATATGATAATGTATAAAGCAAAGCGGTGTAGAGTTAGTGTTTTGGTTATTTTTGCTGATCTAGCTCTAGAGTCAAATTGAGCTAGTTGTACATGCTGCTTACTTGGTTGAATAAAAAAATTCTTTTCGACCCAAAAAAAAAAGGCAAAGCGGTCAATATTGCATTATATGTCTATGCTGCTTATATTGGAATCTATGAAGGTAATGCAAATAGATTTGCTTGACCGGGGCTTGGGTACTTCCTCTATTTTGGTTGGTTTTTTGTAAGGTATGGTCACTGAATAATAGGACTTCGACAGAAAGACCTAGGCAAAAAGATCAACTGCTATGTTTATAAGAAATTCAGGAGGCCAAGTTTGGGATAGGAGGGGTTAAAAATTTTGAATGGGATTTAAAGTTATATTTACTAAAAAGTGAAAATCTAAACTTTTTGAGTTAATATTCTAAAATCACCCTAAATTATTACATTTTTATCGGTTTCCTATTTAAACTATTTGGTGTTCTCAATATCCCTTTGAACTATATCTCCCTAGTCATTAAAAAAACTCAAATATGCCAAGTTTATGATACGTGGCTAAATAATTAAGCCTAATCTAATTGTTAGCTCAATTAAAGATTTGAACTAATTAATAATAATTAAAAAAAAGGTAAAAACCTTTGTTCTTCCATATCTCAAATCAAACAATTGATAAGAAATAATCTAAGCATAACTATTATTAAAATTATTAATACATCTTATTTAGTATTATTCTTAAACACCCTATCAAACTAGGACTTAATTAACTGTGGGGAACATCAATTAATAGAGGTAGAAATGAGTTGTTCATCAAGACTGCTAATTAATTCAAAGCAGGACATGGTCAAAGTTCAAACTTATCAGCATTGATGACTATTATATGAATTGGTTAGACGCACGTGTCTTAAGCTGAGGAAGAGGTATTAGTTGACCCCCACTACCAAAGCAGTAAAAGTTGTCACTCTTGCTTGAGTATTGGTCTATTAAGACAAGGGGAAGGGAATTAATTGGTGCCCGAGAAGATACTCATGTGTAGGCGTAAACTCACAGGAGGAATTTAACAACAGGGCCAAAAGCTATCAAAGTTGTTTACTCTAAAAAAAAAATAAAAAAAATAAAAATAAATAACAATTGAATTTATAAGTGATTTTAAGAATATGTGGACTAATTCAATACAAGTGATTAATAACGTCATATGAACAGACTAAAGATAGAATGAATAGCCAAACTAGTAGTAGTATCGAATCTGGGCTCGGTTGTGAGCCCAACAATTAGCCTGCCTTCGGTTCGGAACCAAACACTTATGAAGAACTATGAACAAAATTAAGAACTTTGAATAACCTTTAGAAGCAGAGAAAACAAATGTATATTATCTTGATATGTGTGTTACAATGTGTCTATTGAATAATCAACTTTTCCTTTATATAGTAAGGAAGTTTTACCCTAAGTACAATTCTAAAAAAGGTAAAAATCTTCATTTTCGCTAATCACTGATCTGTTATCGATACAAGCCTAGATTTACGTCGTGATATCCGGTTGAACGCGGATATCACGGCCCTTTGTTAATCGTGCGCGGTCGTTTGGTAATGCTTTCCAAGGTCTTGGAACTCGAACCGGATCCGGGGGGCGTGGTCTCGATGGCTCCGAGGGTAGGTGTTTTGTTCGGGCCTTGATACGAGAGGCTCCTGGCTTCGATTCTGATTCCTTGTAGTTACGTCCTTGCTTCATTTGCCTCACCGAAAAATCGGGGTGCTCTTTAGCCTCGGTTTTACCCGTATACAGATAGTCCCCTCGTTTATCAGAGAATAGGTTTGCCGAAACAATGAGAAACGATAGATGTTCTTCGGTTCCTTCCTCCGTACGTTACGACGAAGAGGTCGAAACATCCCATCAGTCGCGTCGTTCTGACTTCAAACACGTGTCAATCATCAGATGGTTGCCTCCAAATGCGAAGCGTCGCCTACTTCCCCTATAAAAGCTTCTATCGCTTGTTCTTTCTCCACTTTCCGATTAACCTTCTACCTTCGAATTCTCTAGCTATCACCAACTTCCTTCAAACCTTCGTATCTTTATCTTTGATCTTCAAATCCTCATAGTTGTTCTTAGGTTTTTACCCATATTTTCTTCGAATTTTCTTACTCTGTTCTTCAGCCTTCCAACTTGTTCCTTTAAACCTCTATACTTTTTCTTTAAATCTTCAAACCTTCTCAGATAGTAATGGCAAAAACTTTCAAGTCAGTCCCTCAGCAGGCTGCCTCTTCATCATCCCAACCGGCCGTCGGTACTGTGGCAGTCTTTACCGAAAGAGTTATTCTCGAGACGGTTACTCTTGAGATATATTTGAGCTACTAACATTTATGTACTATAAAACTTATTGGAGCATTCAAAAATAATATGTCCAAGCTTGAAATAATACGTTAAAAGATAATACCATAAAATAGTTTAAGAAATATTTATAAATTATACTACAATAAATATTTTTATGTATTAAATATATTTAAAACTTTCATACATATAATGTTGGGTTGGTTTAGTTTCGGTTTGACTTTTTTTAGTTAAAACCAAACCAAACCAAACCAATTATGGTCGGGTATTTTTTCCCAATACCAAACCAAATCAAACCGAATCATAGTCGGACTTTTTTCTCGACTTGACTCGAATTATCAGTTTGATGCGGTTTGTTGATTTTCTTTGTACACTCCTAGTAGCGATATACTCCTCTGTTTCAATTTATGTGAACCTATTTCCTTTTTAGTGGGAGCCAAAAAGAATGACCTCTTTTCCTATTTGGAAATAATTTACCTTTATGCAATAATTTATAGCCACACAAAATATATGTGCCTCATTTTATACCACAAGTTCAAAAGTCTTCTCTCTTTTCTTAAACTCCATGCCCAGTCAAATGAGTTCACATAAATTGAAACGGATGTAGTATATAATATGGGTCAAACAATAATCTCTAGATAATTAATCGAAGATGGCACTCTACATTCAAAGACGAACATAAATAGTGGTCGCAATAAAGGGCACTTGTGCAAATGCCGCACATATTGTTATCTCTCCATTATTAAGCAAATGTTTCAGGTTTGACTTTGGAAATATTTTTCCTTACCAAACATCTCTATCTTCAAATACCAAATTGTTAGGTAGAATAACACAAATAGGATATTTTTGTGCTACTATTTAATTTTTTAAAAATCGGTAACAAAAAAAATTATAAAAAAGTTATATCCCAGTATTTTAAATCATGCCGGACAAAATTTTCCTTAAGAGCCAGAATTTTAAAGGACGAAGCAATTATGGTGCTCGTCAGGATTTTGCCACAGAATTCTGATAGATTATCAGAATGTTTTGAGCATTGTGGATGGAATTCTGGTGACACTCATAATTTTGTGGCTGAATCCTGACGATAACCCATAATTGTGACGTGTTTTAAAATTCAGCCCAGCGTATTTCAAAATTCTAGAAATCAAGACAAATCTGTTTAGCGTGCTTTAAAAATCTGATTCGAGATTATTTTTCCAAAATATATTTTAATGTGATCAAAATATAAACAATGGGTTTAAAAATATCCATCCAAAGTTAATTTCATAGATGATTAAATAAACAATGCTGATCCAGAAACTTTTAGCGCGAATTAGGACTGTAACTTGCAATTAATCGTTAGCCCAATATCAGCAAAATCCATTAATTCCAGCCCAAAGCCTCACAAGCTAAAACTGAAAACACCAGCCCACATTCAGCTGGAAATGTAAAACTGAAGCCCATGTTATGCCAAGTCAGACCTTTAACCTAGTACCCCTCTATAAATACTCGTTTTCCCTTGCCCCTTTAGAGAAGTAGGGTTTTCTCAATAGCCTGTTCTGCGCCTCCGCGGACTTCAAAGAGACAAAACAATTGTTGGTTGTTGAAGGATAGTTGTACCCACATGTTATCTTAATTGTTAGTGTGCCATATTAGGTAAGATATTTCGGTCCAAAATATATATTCTGAGTATGATATAGAATTATAGAGTATATGTTTTGGTTTTCTTTTACCTGAACCTGGCATACCAACAATTGAGATAACAATTAGGTTTGACGAACTTTTAACTAATTACTGTACATCAAACCCATTGTATCTTCCTGCGCACTTGGATTGCTAGTTCATTCTTACACAAAAGTATTGTTGTACGTTGATGTTTTCTGAGTGTTGGCATGCATAAATTGGGTTAAGTCATATCTGATGAAAATGTATTTTCTGAGATGAGATACAATGATGGAATATATTATAGGTGTTTTAACTAGTCCGGACATGTCAACTATTGAGATGACATCTAGGTTTAGTGATACATTAATTAGTTGAAGTATGAGCACTGTGGCAGTATGGGCGCTACATGGCCTAACATGCATGCGCTATACATGAAATAATTGTACCCGGGACTGGTTTTGTTTTTTATTTAAAAGTTTCAGAATTTGGTAAAAATCAATTCAGGATCCTTCTTCTGAAATATCTGTTCGTTAAGTTATTTTACATTTTGTCATAATGTTCGAATAGCGAAAAATTAGGGTTTCATTATATTAGGGGGTGAGGTTGTGGTGAAGAATAACTCAGTACGCTATAGTTCTCCATAATGTCATGTTAAATTGACACTTATAATGGAGTACGATAAATTGGTATCGTTGTTATGTAAAAAAATGAGTGTGAGCAAACGTTCGGTTAATATTAAAGTAACCGGAAAATATCCCTATTTTGTTACTCCGCAAGGGGTTGCTTGTTGTGCTGAGTTTAACATCGAGAACGATGAAACTCTGGCAGATTTTTTGAGGACTCCAGATGAACACCATGAACTTCTTATGATAAAAATATTGAAAATGTACATCAAGGCTGAAGACGTTCGCAATAATGAGGTTTCGCAAAATAGGGATATCCCTCAATCATTGGGTGATTTTTTTTGGAGCAATTTTATCCGAACAAGTTCCGGGTGAAAGAGTTTGACTAAATCTAAACTTATCTCCACGGGCGAATGAGGAGGGATGACATAATTTATCCCCAAGTTTACATAATCCACAAGCTGAGTGGTAAACTTCAATTTTCCTTTGTGTTACAGAGTTTATTTTTTTGTATTGAATTTGTATTAAAACTCATATATTCCACAGGGGGTACCAGCCAGATATGAATTTTATAAGATATGAACCAACAGACAGTTGGAATATGCCTAGTTTTGGTGTGTTGGATCATGGTGGTCCATTCGGGAGTCATCAGCAACAAGATAATG